TTTTTTTTTTTTTTTTTTTTTTTTTTTTCACATTTTATTTGCAGACAGTGTGCACGCTGTTCCTGTACAACGCGACCCGAGAGAACGTGATTGCAGTGGCGCGTCTCGGGACTGACAATCCACCCTTAAATAGCAGCCAAGCTCAAAGTCTGCAGCACCTTCTGCGCGTCAAGGTGAGTAAATTGCAAATAGAAACGACTCTCCCGGTTCTCGTGAACTCTCGCATCTCATTCTGATCTTATTTCCCGGCCAACTCGACCCGGCCCACCGGACCTAACGGTAACTTTATTACAGCCCCTGGCTTTTCAATCCGCCCCCCCCATTTTATTTGGCCATTCGTCAACCGTTTTATACGTAACGCGTTATTGAATTAGCCGCGAGGCACGGCTCGACGTAGACCGACTATTTTATCATTCGAACTTCGAAACCCTCGAGTCTCTGACATTTTATCATTTTGTCTCTTTCCGGACTTTAAAAACTTATCGGGCTATATTCGATTGTTGAACTCCGGTAAGTCGGAAAATAATGATTTGACGAAGACTGAAAGAATGATTTCTTGTTTCCAGTATTTTTGAATCAGGATAATAATTAATATAGCCACTAAAGGAATAAAAAATAACGAAGATAACCGCCAATAAGCAATAAATCTTTTACATTTTTTCAAATAATATTTGCCCAAGGAAGGAAATTTGATACAGAGAGTGGATAACCTTAATTAAAATTTCATTGGTGAAAACGATGTTCGAGATCACGGTTGGTTATCACGGTGCGCGAAAAAAGGGCAGAGAAAAGGTAGAGGGGAAAAAGAAAGAAGAAAAGGAAGGGGGAAATGGTGGACAACGAGACGAAAGGATCGCGTGCCCCGCGTCGATTCGATTCGCGACGAAAGGGCCGGTTTCGTGTTTACGCGGCGGTGTGCGTGCCACGCGCAGGAAGTGCGTGCTGTATACCCAAAGGGGCGATATCAAACTTTACAGAACTTTTCATTTCTCTCGCTCGCGCCCTCCCTTGTCCACCGTTCTTTCGGCCGATCCGCTCGTAAACCCCGAGATCTCTCGAGGGGAGGAAAGCCAGACTGCCGGCCACCCCTCTCGTCGAGTGATTATCGCGATTAATTAAGGTACGCCATCCTTAATTTCCCCAAAAATTATCCAACAATCCCCTCTTTCGTATCTGATTTCCCGACTCGTTGATTTTCCATCCCCTTTCGATTTCTTCAACTTTCTACGAGGAATTTTTCGTCGAAGAGAGAGTGTTTTATCTCCTATCCTATTTTATTTTTTGTTTTATTTTATTCTTCTTCTCTCCTTCTAATTTCAAGAATATCGGTTGAATTTTTTATAGTAGAACGGAATTAAAAGTTAGTACTTTTGATTGAAGGGAAAGAAGATGAAATTTTTCAAATTGCCAGCGTTGGGGGATTATAATCGAACAAGCGATGCTAATTACGTACACACGAGATTCGTTGCAACATTTTCCTTTGGTAGCCTGGGTTTTTTTCTATCACTGGAGGGCGTGCATTGAAAAGGCAATTAAAGCGCGACACGATTTCGTTAGGCGGTCTCGCGACCACTTATCGCGGTCGAGTAGTCGCGAAATTTCGCGGAGACCGCGCGCCCACTTTTTCTCGATCGATAAATTGTTGTTGGCCGAATAACAACAGCAGGAGATCGTAAATAAGCCGATCGAATGGAGGATAACGAGCCAATACGTGAAAAATTGGTAAATTTTTCTCTCTCGTGTACCTCTTTGTCAAAGTTTTTAGAGAGAAATCTAAACCAACGACAATTATTTATTATTTCCAACAAGGGATCTCTTACGTAAAATTAACAATATCGCCAATACGATTTCATAGAATAGACTTCACATTTTTATAGAATAGACTTTAGATTATTATTTCAAAACAAACGATATTGAATCATTGTTGAAATTTTTTGATTTCTGCCCACTTCTAATAATCACTATACGTGATAAAGTGACTCTTGGACCGATTAATGACGATAAATTTATAAATGAGATTACAGTTATGATGATCGATCGTGCTTACAATAAAAAGTCCTTCATCATTCACGAAAGGTTGCACGCCGAATCGTACACGTATTCGTTCACACGCATCAAATCGTTCACCGAATCAACTCGGACGCGTGTTTATCTCTCGCCCCAGCCCCATTTTTTTTCCCGGGCCGCGCTATTTTTCAACGAAAATTCGCATAACGTTAAACGGGGAGGGGGCCTCCTCCCCCTCCTCCCTTCTTCCTCTCCCCCGTATCGATAGAGGCCGAACGCCGAGCATTTTGCGTCGGTCATACGAGCTCCCGCGGCGATTTCCAATTTGCGATTAAGCGCCGCTCGATTTGCAATTTGATGGAGGGATCGCGGATTTGAATTGGCGCGCTCTGCACAATCCACTCCCCTATTTTTCTCCCCTTTGTCTCCCTCGCGTTCTCCCTTCAACGTTCTAAACGCCGTCCATTTCCAAGTGGTGTTCGAAACAGTTAGTTAAAGCGAGAATTTAAAGGTGAAACTCCTTGACAGGCAGTATTCTTTTCATAATCGATGAAGAGTGATTCTCAAAAAGTAATTTTTCCTCGCAACAAGGGGATTCGTTATGTTAAGAATTTCTTTGGACAGATTGCGTTGATGGATGCTATTCCTCCCGAAAGTGACTTTCTCCCTCGGTCGAGAAATATTTCGTAGACTTCTCTAAAGAAAATTCGTACACGCGTGGAAAAGAAAATATTGGATTCGTAAAAGTTTTCGGGAGAATTTCGCCGCCACGATCCATCGGGCACCGCGAGAAAACGCAATTTGCATGCCGCGGTCCAACGTGCCCGATTTCCACTCCATTATTCCCGACCGCCGGCTGTGCGGAATTCGTCGATAAATAATAGCCGATAGATCGCGTAAACGCGACGA